TTTCACCATTTTTGAAACGGGAAAACCACTCAAACACTTGAGTTTTCCCCACAGCATCCTTCTTGTACACCGTTTTTAACATTTCAAGAGTTTCTGTTCCACTTTTCCCGAGCAAAAAGCAGAATTTCACCACCGCACACTGTTGACGAAAATCAGCCATTGCAAAAACGACGATCACACAAAACAGTTGTCACTATAAACTCTGCCGAAACTAGTCCTTATCTTCTGAAGCAACGGTAGTCGGCTTTTCGACTCAGGAATGTTAGCTCTATGTGCTCATAGTGGCAAAATGCGGTACTACAAAAGCTCTGCCCACAAAAAAATTAGTTGTTTCTTTTGGGTACCCCATCGTATATATTGTCACGTGTTGGGTGTATAACGCGACAAATAACTTCATGCCGTATTTGATATAGCGAATTTATTCCACATTCGCTCTTACAATCACACAAATTACAATCTGACAATTACTGCCATCGGCAGTATCACAAATACTAGACTGTAAATGCTAGACTACAACTGAAAGGTTGACTGCCTGGCTAACTCGTAACTATCTCGTAAACTCGAGAACCACTGCCTTGAGAACTTGAGAACTCACTTCGGCGACTGATACACTTTAACTCGTTCACTGCTGACTGGAGAACTGTCTTCGGCCGCTGATACACTTTAACTCGTTCACTGCTGACTGGAGAACTGTCTTCGGCCGCTGATACACTTTAACTCGTTCACTGCTGACTGGAGAACTGTCTTCGGCCACTGATACACTTTAACTAACTTTGGCAGCTGTGTAGTTCCCTTATATAGTCGCAGCACCCTCCTCTTATGCAATGGGTACCACTGTTGCCTGTTACCTGTGTCCCAGCTGCATTGTGTGTGGGGAGTAATGACAGCGCTATGATGCCGCCACGTACCACTGAGGAGGGAGGGGTGTCCTCCATTGCGCAACACGTCACAATATATACAGGGTGTTCCACGACTTTAGGGCATAACTGCAGGAGGTGATGTCCTAGGTCTTTGTGATCAAAAAAGTTCATATAAACATGTGTCCCATTTTGGATGGTTACGGAGTTATGACCATTTTAAACTCAGAATGGAAGGTAATGTTTACTGACATTAAATGAAACAAAATAATAAACCAGCATAATACATGGTACATTTAAAGTATGACTGTAAAGTTAACTTCGTGAAATTACCTTTAATTTGAATTTATTGGTGCTTAAAGCTGATTTTCGAAAATGCCACCACCGGCCGCAACACAGGCTGCCGCTCGGTTGTGAAACGTGCGGGTAGCACATAGCAGCTTCAGCTGGCTGTTTCTTATGTGGTCAGCAGCGTCCAGAATGCAACCGAGCAAAGCATCTCTCGTTGCCACGTTCACATTGTAAACCAGTTCTTTCTTCCATCCCCTCACACACTAATCCAGTGGGCTTAAGTCTGAAGACTTGGTTGGCAATTCTTCGCGTACTCGTACATGGACTCTGGTGTACCATACGAAAAATGCCTTCCTCATTGACGCCTTCATTAACACCACGCTTGGCTGCAATACGAATGCCAGGAAGTCTACCGGTATCTCGCAATGCCTGGTAAACTCCAGTAAACACTCTCCAGTTCGGTATTCTACGATTCAGAAACCGTTGCTGATATTCAGCTATGGCAAGAACTGAGTTACTGTCACAAAACCCGTACACATGAATCATATCTGCATACTCCTCAAATGAAAATGTAAATGGCATCGTGAACGTAACAGAAACACCGAGATGAGAACTGTTCTGAACATCAGCAGCTGCCACACTAGCCATGGCCTTACATACCAACCCACCACGCCTTCGGTACCTCTCAGGTGTCGAGATAATGAGAACACTGTCTGTAGCTGGCTAAAAATAGCGATCTGCCAGATGATAGACGCAGTCCACACGAGGGCATGTACGGGAATGAAAAAACGGTCTTAACTCCGAACCGTCCAAAATTGGACACATTTTTATATGAACTTTTTTGATCACAAAGACCTAGGAAATCATCTCCTGCAGTTATGCCCTAAAGTCGTGAAACACCCTGTATATATACAAGGGGGGTCCAAAAATATGTACTCACTCATTGATAGTCAATATATTTGAAACTAATTGACATGTAGTTAAAATTCTTGTGCAGTAGTGTAGTGTAATGTTTTCTTAACAGATGGCAAAGGTCACATGAGTGTCGTGTCGTGTGCGCGCTGCGAGCAGAAGACAGCAGCAACAATGGCTGAAAGGTTGTTCTTTGAGCCATGCAAGGCTTGACTGAAGTGGTACTGGAAGTATGAAAACATTAAAGAGGTACAACAACAATGGCAGAATGAGTTTGGAACTCAGCCACCAACACGTCAAACAATTGCCTGTATTCAAGATAAATTTGAAGCCGACAGTACTGTTCGTGATGTGCATAACTAAAGATCTGGACGAACATGGATAGCAACAAGTCCACCTTCCAGTGCTGTGGTGTTGCAACACTTTACATGATCACCACAGAAATCTGTGAATCAGTGTGCATGCGAAAGTGGCGTAAGCCGATCAAGTGTACAGCAAATTCTGAAGGCTGCAAAGTGGAAAGTGTACATTGCAAGACTGCTGAACGCTATGAACGAAGATGACCCGGATCGAAGGCTTGAATACTGCGACTGGTTTGAAGGCATGGTTCACGAGGATGAGGAGTTTGCAAGGAAAGTTATCTGTTCTGACAAGGCACAATTCAAAATGAACGGTACTGTTAACTGCCACAATTGTGTGTATTGGGCTCCTGTAAATCCACAAATTCACATGGGTAAGGTAGTGAATCTACCAGGTGCTAATGTGTGGTGTGGTCTGTCATCGCGCGGTTTCATTGGTCCTTTCTTCTTTGAAAGTACCTTAACTGGTCAGGTGTATCTTGATATGCTTCAGACATCGATTTTCCTTGCCATTCGAGAGCTGTTTGGAGATGAGAGATTTTACCTACAACAAGATGGTGCTCCACCTCACTACCATCAAAATGTCAGGGCGTACTTGGATGACACTCTACCTGGACGATGGATAGGTCAAAGAGGTGCTATTGAGTACCCACCACGGTCTCCAGACCTAACACCTCTCGAGTTCTACCTATCGGGAACCTTGAAGGATGAAGTTTATCAACAAAAGCAAACTACACTGAACCACTGAAGAGTCGTGCGCAGCCATCACACCGAACACACTGACGGCCATAGTTCGCTCAGCAGTTCGGCGGCATCGACGTTGTTTAGCCACTGATGGTGGTCACTTCAAACACATACAATGACTCTCTCTCTCCGCGCAAGACTTGTAACTACATGTCATTTTGTTCCAAAGATATTGACTATCAAAGAGTGAGTACATTTTTTGGAACCCCTTTGTATATGATTATGAACAAACTTTCTATACAATGTGTAAAAGAAGTAAATTTTGATCTTGTAGTACTGCATCCTGTTTGTGGTGCTTACAAATAAAAATAGATATGTTGCCATCATACAAAAATGTCTTTATTTACTGATTCACAGCATGTTTCGTTGAGGAAACACAGACAGTAACAGACAATGTACAAATTACAGTGCTAGTATAAAATTTTTTAGCTAAAATTGGGTCAGTAAAAGGTAACGTCCCTGTACTTAACCAAATAAGCACTATGCCATGAAGGTGTTTGGGGGAGTGAATGTATAGAGCCAAATTTTCTTGATCTTGGCAAAAGTTGGAGGTGAGTGGTCAGTTGCATGCTCCTGCAGCTTTACCCCCAGGGAAAAAGTCCCTGGTACCAATTGGATAGGAGGTTGGGTGAACCCCATAGCAGGTCTAGATGACACAGAGAATTGAAAATTCTTGACTCTACCAGGACTTTAACTCCGACCCCTTGGTTGTCCAGCCAGTAGCCAGTCACTATACCGAATTCACTATACCGGCTCTTAAAATTTGGTCGGATCTGGACATAATACTAAATATACATCACATTTTAAATTAAGATTTTGAAAATGATATTGAAACATTACAAAGAGAAGATCTGTATGAAATGAGATTATTTGATGTTTCAAAGTTGTTCTGGTGGTGGTAGGACCTTCTGGTTATTGTGCTGCGTTTGTGTTTATTTCTTTGTGGAGGATTGCTTCTACTAGTTCTAATGGTCTGCTACTGTTTGAGGTGGGCCAGAACCCTACAAGAACATCCTGAAAAAAATACCATACTTATAAAACATATCAACTTAAACAACACACAGTTTCAGATAACCCAATATACGTAGCTGCAGAGTCTAAGGCATGAAAGGCCTTCACTCATTTGAACATTGGTACTGTGGGTTCAAATCCCACTCAAGGCATGGATGTTTTACTGCATTTATTCTGTGCGTGTAGGTAGCAACCTTGCAATGGGCTGATCACTTGTCCAAAGAGTCCTACCAACTGTCTTAAGATTAACTCTTTGACTGGAGCGGGAGTGTTTTAACGCCCGGACGATGCCAGCCGTTCCCTGGCGTTGGCGTGTTTTAACGCTTTGACAATCTCGTCCCTTCTTTGCTCTCTTGGCACTCATCAACCGAAGACATATATATGATAGTTTTTGTGCATGTTTGTAAAGAACCCTTGTAAACTTTGTGGGGGTCTATATTACCGTCAGAACCTTCTGAGAAGGTAAAGGTAAGAAAATATTTCACATTCATTCAGTTTCACCATAGCTTCTTGCGGCAAATGTCTTCGTGTTCCTACAGACCAGCTGGAAAATGTTGTGAACGAGATTTTTTCTGATGATGATAGTGGCGATGAAATAATTATTCCTGAATTGGATGAAGTTGATAGTGACAATAATACAGTGATAGACAATGAACCACAAGACAGTAATCATGAACATTTACCTAACACGAGTGCGGTGCCTGACACGCCCATCTCATGAACGTACGGAGACATTGTACCCCCAATATTTCCATTTGCTAATAGTTTTGGGATCAAAATTGATATAACACATAAAATGCATCCCTTTTCATGGATTAAAATT